CCCCAACCCATATGGTGAATCTCTGAGGCAAGAAAATCCGCCAATAAGTGCAGGACCCATCAAGATAGAGGAGGAACTTTGTTACAATATGTATCAATAGGGTCCATGATGTAATCAACAGTCCCTGTCTATGCTGTATTCTGATATCATTTAAATGAATTGTAAACACGGGATATCTCAGTGTGCATCTCTCTTTGAAATGTTTCAGATGAATGATGGAGGAAAAAGCAAATGGCCATATGTTAATTTGTATAGCTAAGTACCGGTGATGGACCTCCTTCAAAATAATCCAATTCCCTTTTGTTCCCTGCGGAAATCCCAACTTGTCAAAAGACACAAAATTGTATAAAAGATCCTTGGGTCCTGATTCTGTCATCTTAGATCTGCTTAGACTTCATCAGGGGAAGTTTGAGTCGCAAGACTGAGGTCCCAGTTATGCTGGTATGCCCTGAATATGAGATTTGGACATTCGACTATAACCTATGAACTATTTCTGAAAGAACTCTTTGCAACTACGAAGCTCACCATCCCTGCTATGAATCTGCACCTCAATGAATTGAACTCATGTCTGTATGTACATTGATCTTTTAACAACTCTCTCTCTCTTTTGTTTTTTAATAAATTTTAGTTTAGTTAATAAGAATTGGCTGTAGCGTGTATTTGGGTAAGATGTGAAACATTCATTAACCTGGGAGGTACTGTGTCCGATCCTTTGGGATTGGTTGAACCTTTTCTTTTATATGATGAAATAAGATTTACAGAAATTTTCATCATATTTGACGTGAGTACCTGGATGGAGGCCTGAGGCTGGATCACTTTAAGGGAACTGTGTTGTCTGGACTTCTGAGTAACCAGTAAGGTAATAAAGAAGCTGTTTTATGCTGGTTTGGTGAATCTACGTATTGGAATATCAACCTGCTGTATGGGGATTGTCTGCCCCATTCTTTGCAGTTCACCCTGAGTGACCACAGCTGGCTCCCCACTAGGACCCCGGTCACAGTGGCATAGTCATGCTTGGATACACATTACCACAGGTTAATTGGGTTTTTGGATGAGAACCACACATGCTTGTCAAAATTTAGTTATGATATTGGGGAGTTTAAGGGTTAAAAATCAGTTACAGTGAGTGACCCATGATCAAGATCCTGACAGAAAAAGCCTGGAAGAATTGTGCTTACAGAGAGGGTTGCATTTTAAGCAAAAGGCCCCAGAGCAGGAACTGAAAAATCTGTTAATTGCCAGTGATAAGGAAGCAGACCCAGCGAAAATGTTTGCAGTGAGAAACCAGCAGCTAGAATTTTGAACAAAAGCAAAAAATAGCTGATATGTAAGGAGAAGCTGCTGAAAGAGAGTGCCTGTGTTTTGAACATGAACAAAAAATGGCATATATTCGATTGCAGGAACTAGAAGCTAAGGCAAAAGTGGACAGACTTAAGCTCCAACTCAAGAGAATAAAGCAGGGGTGGGCAAACTTTTTGGCCCAAGGGCCACATCTGGGTATAGAAATTGTATGGTGGGCCATGAATGCTCACGAAATTGGGGCTGAGGTGTGGGAGGAGGTATGGGCTCTGGGCTGGGCATACAGGTTCCAGGGTGGGGCAGAAATGAGGAGTTCAGGGTGCAGTAGGGGGCTCCAGGCTGGGACAGAGCGGTTGGGGTGCGGGGGGGTGGGGTGGCAGGTGGCGTGTGAAGGCTCTGGCTGGGGGTGCAGGCTCTGGGGTCGGGCTGAGGATGAGGGGTTTGCAGTACAGGAGGGTGCTCGGGGCTGGGTCCGAGGGGTTTGGAGGGTGAGAGGAGGATCAGGGCTGGGGCAGGGGGTTGGGGCACGGGGGGGGGGGTGGCTCAGTGGTGCAGGCTCCAGGCAGCGCTTACCTCAAGCAGCTCCCGGAAGCAGCGGCATGTCCCCCCTCCAGCTCCTACGTGGAGGCGCAACCAGGCGGCTCTGCTGCGCGCTGCCCCGTCCGCAGGTGCTGCCCCTGCAGGTCCAGTTGGCCGCTGTTCTCGGACAATGGGATCTGTGGGGATGGCGCATGGGGCGGGGGCAGCATGCAGTGCGGAGCCCCCTGGCTGCCCCTATGCGTAGGATCCTGAGCGGGGACATGCTGCTGCTTCCAGTAGCTGCGCGCAGCGGCCCCCAACCCTGCTCCCCGGCTAGAGCACCAGAGTGGGGCAAGCCCCAGACCCTGCTCCCCAGCGGGAGCTTGAGGGCCAGATTAAAATGGCTGCCTGGCTGGATGCGGCCCGCGGGCCATAGTTTACCCACCCCTGGAATAAAGGAACAAGAGGAACTGTATCATCCTGAAAAAACAGTTCCTCTCAACAACAAAGATGGGGATAGAATCTATCCAGTTTGTAACAATGTTGGTATGTTGTTTGACTCTAAGCAGTTGTCTGTTTAACTAGGGTTACCATCTGTCCGGGTTTCCCCGGACATGTCCGACTTTTGGGTCTTTAAATAGCCGTCCGGGGGGAATTTGTAAAAAGCTAAAAATGTCCGGGATTTCCCCCGGACGGCTATTTAAAGACCCAAAAGGAGGACAGGGCAGCTGCGCTGGGGGAACCGCGGCAAGCCGGCGCTGCCGGCGCCACTCACCTTTCCTCCCTGGGCCCTGGGGCAGCGCGCAGCTGAGAGCTCCCGGCGCGGCGGCGCCAGCCCACGGGGCCCCCCTCCTGGCCGGCAGGAGCCTGCAGAGCGCAGCCCTCCCCCTGCCCCGGCACACAGAGGCAGGGAGGTCTCACTCCCCTGCGTGCTGCAGCGGGGCGGGGCTTGTAGACTCCGGCAGCAGGCAGCTGTCGCCGGGCAGAGAGCTCCCCCCGCCCCTGCCCCCCTCCCCTCCCCTCCCCTCGACCTGACCCTAGGAAGGGGTCAGCGGGACTGGGAGGGACCTGCATGCTTCCTGAGAGCCGCTCCAGGTAAGCACTGCTGGGCTCACCTGGCCCCCTGGCAGGTCCCTCCGGGGGGGCTCCCCTCAGACCCACTGCCCTCAGGCCCCACCCTGACCCTGTTCCCTCAGCCTCCCCTGCAGTTCCCCCTGTACCTCCCACCCCGAACCCACTGCCCTCAGTCCCTGCCCCCATTCCAACAGCCTCCCCCACAGTCCCCCTGCTCCCCCCAACCCACTGCCCTCAGCCTTGCCCTACCCCAAATCTCTTCTTCAGCCTCCCCCGTCATCCCACCCCCATCGCTCCCCCTGCTGTCCCACCCCCTCAACTTCCCACCATTCCAGTACTGCTCCCCTCTCTCATCCCCTCCAGACCCTGTCCCTCTCCCCAACCCTCCCCAGCCCAGCCCCATTGTCTCCCCCGTCCCACCCCACTCTACACAGCTCTCTACCTTGTCCCATTCATGCTCCCCTCAGCCCCTACCCTACTCCCCCATCCCAGTCCTGTCCCATCCCCCTCAGCCCCCCCCAGTCCCAGTCCTGTCCCCCTCAGTTCCTCCACCCTGCTTCCCCCGGTCCATCCCCACACACCCACCGACTCCCTCGACCTCCCTCCCCCCAATCCCACTCCCTGGACCCACCCCCGTCCCACTCAGGACATGCATGAAAAAGAAGCAATGGGCTTAAATTGTAGCAAGGGAGAGTTAGGTTAGACATTAGGAAAAACTTCCTAACTGTAAAGGTAGTTAAGCACTGGACAAATTACCTAGAGAGGTTATGGAATAGCAGTCATTGGAGTTTTTTAAGAGGTTAGACAAACACCTGTCAAGGATGGTCTAGTTGTTATTACTCAGTCCTGCCTCAGTGCAGGGGTTTGACTAGATTAGGGTTACCATACGTCCGGATTTTCCCGGACATGTCCGGCTTTTTGGGATTCAAATCCCCGTCCGGGGGGAAATCCCAAAAAGCCGAACATGTCCGGGAAAATCCGGCGCCGCTGGGCCGGGGGCTGGCCGGG